GGGCGGGTATAAATAACCCTTCTCTTACCCCAAGACATTGCTCCCTCTCTCAGAGACTGTAGATATTTTGGATATCTGGGTGGGCCTTGGTTTGTGGAAGTATTGCAAATGAAATTGGCAAAGAAACTAGGGTAGGTGAACATTGTCTGCTGCATAGTTGGGGAGCAGGAATGGCTAGAAGTGCCAGATAAAATAATAATGGTACAATTTAAACAAAAATTCCATAATTTGAAATTAAAAATGTATCTTATAAAATTATTTTAAAACTACAAAGAAAAATACTAACTGGCGAAAACCATTCATTCAAAAAGAAAGGCTACAGGTATACAACAGGAGAGAAAACACAAGAGAGGAAGATGGGATGGGGGATGATGAAAAAGAAAACTATTTCTGCAAGGTTACGCTGTAGAGCTATTTCTAGGTCAGGCATCTTGATCTTTTTGTCTCTTGAGCTGTGAATCTGAGGTAGAGTCCAGTAAGATTTCTAATCAAAAGTTATAAGAATGGGAGGAAGGGGGAAGAAACCTGAGGAAAAGAAGAAAACGGTTTTTGAGTAAATGACTTACGTTGGACTCTCTTAAAATATAAGTTATTTTGTGGAGAGCTATGTTTCAACATAATTTAATTAAGTAATCCTTGATTTTCATGCCACTTTCCAGGGATACACCAACAATGTCACAATAAAGAAAAAAATATCTTTATTCCCACTTGCCTTGCATTGGGATAAATTGAATAAAATTCTTGATGTTTTGCTGCTACTGTTCGGTGCTTTTTTAAAACTCTAGAAGGCAGATCAGGAAAAAAAAAATTCCCAACATGTAGTTGTCTGGTTAGATAGCTACAGAATATTGTCATATTCAGATTAACAACCACCACCATCATCACAGGATGTGGATTATACAACAATTTAAACTTTGCTTGTAGTCTAAAAGCAGTGTCCAAAAAAATGTCCACACTTCATTTGAAACAACATCTCTAAAAATTTCTCTGTGGCAACAAGAAGATATTGTTTATCTTCTTTGTCTTCTACATATAGAAAGTTCAGCACTCCCAAGCACTTGCAACTTGCTTGACCTTCAGTCTGATCTAATTCCTCTTGGCAGGCTATCTGCTTTGTTTTTACCTTGTTGCGTGTGTGTCTTCTAAATTTTTAATTCTTTTTGTGTAATTCCACTACAGTTGTTCTAAGCAATTTCACATCTTTCTGCAAACCTTTATGCTTTCTGATGGATCTGCTTTTGAAGCATAAGGCAAGCTATCTATTGGTACTACAGCATGACTAAAATCTCAGAATTAGAAAGTTCTCTTACCCCAGTATCAGAAGGTATCTCTGGAGTCAAAATCACTTTGCAGACATCTCCCTAATAAGCCCTCAGCCAAAGCACGTGCGTTCTAGGAAAGGGTTACTGTCTCGGATACAGCTGTGCTCTCCAGCTCAGCAACAGGTACTTCAAAAGCTGGAACTGGAGTACACTGTTCAGGATAGGAAGGGGAGAAGCTTGTTTCTTTTGCTTTCAAAGCATCTTACCAAAATTCCAAAAGGAGTGGAGAACAATTCATTTCACTTTTCAGCTTACCAGCTTTTTATTAAAGATTTTAATTACAGAAATAAAAACTAATACAAACTAAACTCAGACAAAGAAAGGAAAGGAAAAAGAGTAAAAAGAAAGAAAAGTAGAAAAAGGAAAGAGTGAGATAAAGAAAAGAAATATCTTAACATTTTTGATATTTTTATTTTAATTTATCTTTTTATGATTTTTTAAATCTATTTGCTGTTTTATTTAATTGTTGTACGCTGCCCAGAGTTGCTTTGTGTTAGATGGGCAGCTGTATAAATGTGACAGAAAGAAAGAAAGAAAAAAGAAAATAAAGAAGTTACTTCCAATCTTTGTCACAAGTATAAGCAAGTTTGGTAGTTCTTCACCCCCTATAAGGTTACAAACAGATATCTCTTCTTCCCAAAACCCAGCCCTTATCTATAAGCAAATCCATAAGACATCAGTTTTTCAATCCTGGTGTCAGCAAAAAGTCTGTAAAGGGTTGCTAGAACTTTATAAAAATATGTCTTATTTTAACCTCGATCAAATAAACCAATTTTATATTCCTTCCTTTTACTTCTGACAATCTTGATCTTTAATTCCTTCAGATGTTGTAGGATTTGGTCTTTCTTCAATTTTTCTTTTTCCCACCCCAAAGGCTTCTTCGAAGCTTTACCTCTTTTGTAATTCCAGTAAAAAGTTATTATCCAGGTCATTATCTTGGTTTATAATTTGTATCTCCCCTTTAATTTTTAAAACTTCAGCCAGTTTCTTTTATATATCCAGTAAAGAGTCCTTATCTGGTTCATTCTCTTGGCCTGTCACTTGTATTTCTGCTTTAAACACCTTCTCTGTCTTGTAATCCACACTTATTTTAAACCCAGTATTTCTGATTCTACTATTTTTGCACCAAGCAAGATTTGTTTCACATCTGTCATTCCTTCATTAACACCTTTTGAACATAGTCTAGCCATAGAAGCAGACATCATCACTGATATGTTGACATTTGTGGCTACTAATTTATGGCCCCATTCTTCGAAGATCTCCTTTAATATTTCAAATGTTAAAGCGTTTTGTGTCATTTCTTAAATCCCAATACTGATCAAAATCAAAAGCAGGTTTATACTTTTCGGGATGGGAGGGGAGCCTGGAATGTTTAATCCCCTCAAGTGTCCAATTTAAGTCATAGAGTTTCTAATCTCTGTTATGACTTACAGTAGCCAAAATAATTTTGGTTCCCACAAAAAGCTGTTTATTTTATATAGTTAGTTCCAAAATCTTATTGTAAAAGTTTCAGTATTCAATATTCCAAATTTTTCTGGACTCTTAATCCTTGGTTAACAACCACTTATTCAGCAACCATTTGAAGTTATGACGGCGCTGAACAAGTGGTGGTTACGACCTGTCCTCAAAATTCCGGCTGTCCAAGCACCCCTGTGGTCACATGATTGCAATGTGGGTGCTTGGCAACCAGCTTGCACTAACATTGGATGCAGTGTCCCACAGTCAGGTGGTCAAAATTTGCAACCTTCCCTGCCAGCTTCCCACAAGCAGAGTCAGTGAAGAAGCCAGCAAGGAAGGTCACAAGTTGCTCGGGTAAATCTCCCCCACCTGTGTACCCTCTGCACTCACGCCATGCCAGCAACCTGCACACTCTCCCTGAGCACCACTGCACTTGTGCCATACCTCCTTGGCTACTTGTGAACTCTCTCCCACCCCAAGAGCAGCAGCCACCCCAAGACTCACTGCGCTTGCGCCACACCTCCCCTGCCTTGGCACCCTCCCCGAGCCTTACCGCACCTCCCCCACCACTCACACACCCCTCACTCCCTCTCCCACCCGGCAGCAGCCACTTATCTGCCTGCTTGCTAGTCACCTGGGACTTCCAACAGCCAAAGTCAGTGGGGAAGCTGGCAGGAAGTTGTGAGGAGGTACTCACTTAATGACCCACAATCCTCGCTTTACAACAGCAATGGGGACTGCAGGGGTTGCCATAGCTAAGTGATGCAGTCACGTGACATTGGACTTTATGACCACATCGTTTAGTGATGGAAATTCCAGTCCCAATTTTAATTGTAACTCAAGGACTACCTCTATAACTTTCTTAGTTCAAAATCTTATTTAGCTTTTTGCCATCTATTTGAGTTCTTAAACTTATAGTTGTTGTTGTTTTTTGTTCAGAAATGAAGATGGGCTCACCAGGTGGCTTTTCAAACTTGTCATTCCAAAGATCTCTAATGGCTTTAAGATAGTTAAATAAGCACTTTCTGAAAGTGATTACAAAGTGAGGTTAGCGAACTTAGTGTCTTTCAGAAGGCTCTGCCATGGTTGTGAGCTTGATGACTGATCCCTTCATCTCTTAGTGCTCATACTCATGGGAGACCACTATCCTGCAGTCTCCTCGCAAGGAGCAGCAACCCAGAGCACATGTAGGTGATCTCCCATCCTCTCCTTGTCCAGAGAGGCTCCAAAGAACCTATCTCACCAGTTCTTCAGTCTTTGCCACTAACATTGTCTCCACTCTCTTGGAGATGTGTTTAGCTCACTGTGCCTCCCCTGGAAGTCCTGAAGGAGAAACAAATTGACTCAGCACCATCTTGGGTGAGAGTTGGACTAGATGATCTGATAAAAGGGAACAGTGCAGTGCACTGTTTTTGAAAGCTTGGGACTGAAGGAAAGAAGGAATTTTAACTTCAAGAGGAACAAGTTAAAAAAAGATCCTTGCCTCAAAGATACAATCAAAAAATATTACTGCATTTAGATAAAAATTGTTTCAGCAGGATCTGAACATAAAAGACTACGTTAAGAGCTGTTCTTCAATGTACATTAACATTAACAAGTTATTATATACTATTAATACTGCCCTTTGGAACACTCTTCCCCCAGAAGTGAGGTTGGCCCCCTCCCTGTTAGACTTCAGGAAAAAAAACTGAAGACCTGGTTTTGTCATCACGCATGGGGTGGGGATGGGAATAGTCAGTTTTGGGGTTGGCTGGTTTCCTAGTCTTCCCTTTGACCGATATTATCCGGTTACAGGCTGAAATAATATCACTATCTCTTGGATTTTATTGTATTTAATAATTGTATTTTATA